TAAATACATAAAGGATATTTGTGTTGTTTAACATTTAATTATTGCAGGTTTGCGTCATATTCTGAGTTGCATTATTTTTATTCATTTTGAGGAATACTGAATCTGTTTTTTTTGTGAGTGAGATGAATTAATGCATATTCATATTTATTTTAGAACTACAGTAACATCTTCTGATTTCTCTCAACAAATTGGAAAAAAAAGTAACTTGCGTTATTATTCTCAGATATTCTCTTGTAAATTAAAAGTAATGCTTACTTTACTAAAAAAGTAATCTGATTACGTAACTCGCGTTACTTGTAATGAGTTACCCCCAACACTGTTCATATATGCGGGTTGAAGCGACACCAGTAAGGTGATGTTTAGCTACTGGGATGCGAATTTTACCATGGGAACCCCGCCAAAAAAATGTGTATTTTACCCCCTCGAAACGCCATTGGTCTAGTTTTGAGTAGCAATTGGGCGGGTTTTGTTGTGAAAACCTGGCAACCCTGATGTATGCTGAGTATTCAACACTGAATAACAGGTCATGTTATATGGGAAATGGGTTATTGATCAGTTATGTTCTGTGGGGCTTCAGTAATTTTACGAGTTCACATCAAATAATCTTTGTGATACAGCCTTGGCTTGTGGTTTGGCACAGACAGTGAGATAAGATTAGTTTATATACCATCATTTGTGATTGACAGTATTAAATGAACATGCTCATTATTTATAAGTCTATAAGTGACAATTTGGTTAAAACAACCTAATATGAATGACAAAGTAAGTCATGGCCCATTAGTTTTTCATTCATGCTCTTTACAGGATCTTTACATTGATTGCTCCAGGCTAAAATCCTTGAAATATTAACCACAATTTCCACCAAAATACCAACTTTCAATGGCATTTTTGCCTCAAGCTATGTATCATTGCCATGCTCAGGCATAGATACATTAGATACCGTCGAATTACAGTCATATAGTCTACTGCTTTTGTGCCAATGAATAACAGGATTTATCCAAACCCTAACAAAGAGATCCATTGCAGATACAGACAGAGAGAGAGAGAGGGACAGCAAAAGTGTTGGTTACATTGCATCGCTGTAATCTGCACCACAATTTTGGGGTCAGATCTCCCTCTGAGCACTAAAAATATACAGACAGTAATCACTGTTGTTAGAGGACTGAGAAGTATCTAGTAGTAGGCGGCTTTTTAATGAGTCAAGAAAAGCAAACTGTTCCCAAGTGCACACAGCTAGAGAAGAGATAAACAGAAAAGATATGTTTCTTTGCAGTGTTTGCTTTCTATCTCTCATTCTGTCATTCATTCATTCATTCATTCATTCCTTCTATCTATCTATCTATCTATCTATCCACTAAAAATATACAGACAGTAATCACTGTTGTTAGAGGACTGAGAAGTATCTAGTAGTAGGCGGCTTTTTAATGAGTCAAGAAAAGCAAACTGTTCCCAAGTGCACACAGCTAGAGAAGAGATAAACCGAAAAGATACGTTTCTTTGCAGTGGTTGCTTTCTATCTCTCATTCTGTCATTCATTCATCCATTCCTTCCTTCCTTCCTTCTATCTATCTATCTATCTATCTATCTATCTATCTATCTATCTATCTATCTATCTATCTATCTATCTATCTATCTATCTATCTATCTATCTATCTATCTGTTATTCTAGCTATCGCTCTATTGTTCTTTCATTCTGTTGATCTGTCATTCTATCTATCGTTCTATCTGTCTGTTGTTCCGTCTATCTATTGTTCTATCTATCTTTTATTCAGTCATTCTATCTGTCTTGAGTCAGTCACATTCTCTAAACTGTCCGGGCAGTAGATTTATCATGTTCTCGACAGGCTTGGCTCCAGCCGTGTGTGTGGACGGATGGGGAATTCTAGGAAAAAGTAAACACTGATTCTCAAGTTGTCATGAAGAAAATGAACGCACTAGACTGTTTGCTGTCTGGGGTTTGCTTACTTCAGTTGTATATCAAACCATATTTTTGGAAGCGTCTTCAAATACACTCTCATTCCAAAAGCGGCCCACAGATGAAGGATGTTGCTAAAATGATTTCTGTGTTATTTGTTTGAGACATTTATATCTGGTCTAATCTGTTTTTTGGTCAGACTCCGAGCAGGTGTAAAGCCAGGAAGATGTGGGTGGCGTGTTTACCTGTTTTAAATGATTGTTTGTCTTCTTAAACATTCAGAGTTATTATTTTGAATGAAAGACAGGGAATGGCAAAAAAGACAGGGAGCAAGAATGAGGGGGGGGGGGGGGGGGGGGGGGGAGTATAGCATCAAATTGCTTAATAATTTTCTGTGTGGGAAGCAAAAACAAAGAAAGGCTATAACAAACTGCAGTGTAGGAGATGCAAACAGAATTAAGTAGAACTAAATTACTTATTTGTCCCAGCCTGCTCCAAACACATTTTATATAATCATAACAAGCTTACACTTGTGTACTAATGTAGTGCTAGCTGACCACATTTATTTGCACTAATTAAGGTCCATATTCTTAAAAGCCTTTATTCCAATAAAAAGGTTTACATGCTTCACAGTGATTGGAATATTCCTCTACACATGGTAATTGAAACATAAGACATCTATCAATGTTAGTTTGTGAAATGTTTGTAAAAAAAAATTTGTTCTCAATCCAAACGTATTTCTTCAAAATCAAAAATGTTTTAACACCTAAAAGTACAAATTAATATTTTGTTATGTTAAATGGATATTCTGGATAAGGTATCTACATGATAAAGAATAATATGTCATATTTATTGTTGTGATTGTTAGAAATATTTTGGAATATTTGCTAGGCTATTTCAATCTGTTTACCAGATATATTTGACTTGCACGTAAATTTGGAATAATATACACTACCATTCAAAAGTTTGAGGTCACTAAGATTTTTTATTACTTTAATTCCTTTTTAAAGTATAATTTTTTTTTTAAATATTAAGCAGCACAACTGTTCTCAACATTGATAATACGATTTTTTTTCTTTATTGAGAGCCAACTGAGTATATTAGAATGATTTCTGAAGGAAATCTGCTATTAATTATATTTTAAAATATATTAAAAATAGAAAACCGATATTTCAGAATATTACCTTTTTTGTGAACTTTTGAATGGTACTGTAGATTTATTTTATTGCACATGGACATGGTTATTTACTCAAGCAGTTTAGTATAGTCTAAGTTTACGTGTGTTACTATTTTTGTAAACGATTACACTTGTGATTTTTGCCTAGCTGGACAGACCCAAACCATATTCATGGATCCAGAATATTAAGACCTGAGGGTTGACTCTTGTGACTCAAGTGAGCAACCACATAGTGACATCCTGGCAACCCCATTAGCCTAGAATAATGGCAGAACATTGATTGTAAAAATGTTCTCCATTAAGATAATTTCAGTTTCTTATTTATGTCAATAATTAAACTACTCAGAAAGAAAGTGGTATAATAATTCTCTGTAATGTTATTTAATGAAGTGGTTGTCATAGCAACAGTGCTCCTATGCAGTGTAATGGCCACACTGGACAGAAAGGGGCTGCATGGTCAAGCAAGGTTGCAAAAGGCAATGGAACGTGAAGAATTTCTCAGGACTGTGGTGCCGTTGGCCCTTGGACAAACAAAGCTACCTTTCATATCAACAGGCTCCCTACAGACCAATGTTTTCTCTGCTCTTCCATCAAACTTGCACTAGCAGTGAAGCACAAACAATAATGAGCATTTTAAGAGAGACTTAAAGCTATGTTTTATTCATCAACACATAAATCTGAAATCCCACACACCAGAAGTGCACCCGTTGACGTCAGAACATTAAATCGTGTCAAAGATAAGATTTTTTTTCCCCTTGAGGATGCTCTAATAGTTTGTTTGGCTCTCGGGACTGTTGGGCATTCGTTGAGAGGGAAAGGAGAGGCGGTTGGTCTTCAGGCCAAGTGAAAGAGGCGCTTTGTTGAAACTGTTTTGATTTTATTT